ATGATCCATTGTCTCATTCTGTATCCTTTATTTGTATAGTCACAGAATTAACATTTATTCCTATTAAATTTCACCTTAGGAAAGGCAGTTTAGCCTAGTAAATGGAAGGTTGACCTTGTAGTTAAAAAGACCTTGGTTTAACTTCTGCCCTTTGATACATATTGCATGACCTTAAGCAAATTACTTAACTTCTCAGTAACCTAATGAGACTACAAATCAGAGAAGAGCTCAAGATCTCCCTCAGCATTTCCACAATAGGACTTCCATATGCTGATAAAAACCATATCTCTAGATCAAAGTCAGTTTCATTTTATTAACAATTGGTCTCCTTGAGAGGATGGTGTATGGATGATTCTTTTGGATGCTGATTCTTTCATGTAGTACACATAACCCATCCTTCCTAGTATTGTGTTATCTGCAAATCTGGTAAGCATTCTGTATGCCTTCATTCAAATTGCTGATTTAAAAATAAAGAAGTTGTAATGTTATAATGGAAAAGCACTAGATTTAGGAGACCTGGATTTGAATTTTGGTTCTACCACTTACTAGCTGTTTGATCTGGACCAAGTCATTTAAAATCTCTGGGCTTCTCTTTCCTCAGCAATAAAGTGAAGCAGTTTGACTTCAGGGCATCTTAAACTTTTTCCACTTGTGACCCCTTTTCAAGTTTCAGCAGCGTTCATTGGCATTGAGAGGCATGATGGCATACGCAATGCAAAGTGTGCATGCTGTGTTTTCGGTACCAAGGCTGCAGTGAAGTTGTATGATGCAATACGGGAAATTGCTGTAAGAAACACCTCGGATTCATTATGCATTTGATTTTCAATTAATTTTTGGTCATTGCACATTCAGAAATCTTTTACTGTCCTGCAGTTTACTTGTCGTAGTCGAGATCTTGACTAGCTTCTTTGCTGATTTTCTGCACTATTCCCTAAGTAAATTCATATTGTCTATAATTCATATTGCCTCCTCTTCACCAATGCTCATTTAGTTAATTGTTTTTATCTTTTTGCTATAGAAAACCTTTTTTTAAAATTACTGTATCAAATACAGTGGCAACAGCATATCCTTGTTTTGCTGGGAAATTTTACTGGGAATTTACTGGGAAAGTTTCCAGTGTTTCATGATTGCAAATAATGCTGGCTTTTTAGCTCTACTCCCCATTCTTTCTGATTAGATTTTGACTACAATATCAGAACTTAATTCTGAAGAATCTCCCATCCCCCTTGACCCTACTTTCTTCATAGAATCTAGGCATTTCCCAAATCTAAGATTCACTTTATACTTTGCTCTGTGTTCCTCTTTCTTATTTAATTACAATCTGTATTACCTGGCCACTCCTGCTAAGGTTCCTGTAATTTTAATTAGCCAATCAGTTCCTCCTTATTGTTAGAAAAGACACATTCTTAAGGCAAAAAAGTTCATTTTATTGGACATGCAAGGAATGTCACAATAAGGAATAATCTAACGTAATACAGAAGGGCACCAAGAAAAACCCCTTGATTTAAGTTCTTATAAAGGTAGTAACTCTTTCCTGATTACAAATAGAACTCTTTCTTCTGAAGTTCATGAGAACTTTTAAGAATATTTTCATTCATGATTTCTAGGCTAAACAAAGGTGCTGGTATGTGGACAGCTATTCCATAGTATTTTCAACCTGCTATTTGAGTCACAGGACCATATATCTAGAGGTGGAATGGACCTGAGAGTCCACCTAGATCAATTACCCTATTTTACATTTGAACTACCTTAGGGCTAGAAAAGTTAACTGATTTGCTAGGGAGTTAGTGGTAGGGTCAGGATTCAAACTTAGTTGCTGTGAATCCAAGTCAGCCCTCTTTGTCTCACACCAATCTGAAATTTTCATATGTAATGATATGAACCAAATGTGAAAAATCTGGTTTTCCACAGCATGCCAAATATTATCATACAAATCTAATGCAAGGAACTAATATGATATTATAGACTATTATTATCTTTGGGTATAATTACCACCCATATGCACACAGGGCAGGATTTGAACCCGGGTCTTCTGGTTGATAAAGAGATAGACTCCACTTAGATTTTGCATGGCTATACTATAATTTTAGGATTTAGAGACAAATAGAACTTTTCTATTGAAGGCATGCTCTGTAACAGTGAGAGGGATGCATTAAATGTCACTTTGAATGTAAAGAACATGATTTAGTGTCTAGTATGACCTGATCTAGGCTTTAACAAGGCTGTTTAAAATGAAGTTGTACTATAATATATCCTAGAAGAAGATGCTTTGTTTACTTAGCTGTTTACTTAGCATCTCTACATCACAAATTTTCTCTCTCTCTGTCTTTTTCTCTTTCTCTCAATAAAGGCTGCAGACATACTGCTTCAACTTAAAGAAAGCTTAGTTTTACTTTCAAATCTGACTTTTAAATGAAATCATCCATCTACCTGTTCAGAAAGGGATGGCATCACTTTTCCTGATGGTTCATAGTATTTCACAAGCACAGACACATCAAAAAACATAATTACTTCCCTATTAGTCATCTTCATAAATCATCTTTATAGCACTTCATAACTTAGAAGTAGGACCAGTGGATATTTATGGAAAGGACCAGGTAATGGTTCATAGAAGACACAAAAATGGCTTCTTTCCTTTTCAGTAGGGGCATTATGGCTGAGAGGAAGTGGATCTGGTCTAGGGCACAGTTTCTCAGCAGCATTTAACATAAGAAAAAGTGAGCAGGTTGCTACAGCACTATATTTTGCCAAAGGCGTTTCATTCCATGAGTCATCTAAAGTTTAGTGCGTTTTTTTTAAAAACTTCTGTTTGATCCAAAGACAGCACTACTAATCAACTTTGGTCTAGGCTTGACACATCTTTAAATTGGGGAAATTAGGCAGTGTTTTAAGGCATGAAGTGACTACAGAAAGGCAGACCCAAGCATCCATGTTGGTGGTCTTAACAGTGAATGTAGATTGCTATACAACTGATTCAGAGGTAATTATAATAACAATAGTAATAGCTCACATTTACATAGCACTTTTAAGGTAGTAGAGGTATAATTATCCCCATTTTATGATTTAGGAAACAAACTCAAACAGATTACATTTGGATTGTCCAAGGTCATGCAGTTAGTAAGCATCATAGCTAAATCTCAAAGACAAGTCCACAATCTCACACTGCCTCAATGAGCAGTAGTAATTATGATGGTGGCAAAAATGAAGGAATGGGCCGTGAGGTTGTTTAGTTTAATGACTATGTAGAGAGAAGGTCTTAAATTTGTCCAAGTAAGGAAACAGACATAGGGATTAATGGATGCCTTTTATTACTGACAAAGGTTAAATGTGCCTCAAAATTCCCATTGTAACAGATATTTTAATTTGTCAGTCAGCAGAATTCTAAGTTCATATATGATTGGCCAGTTCCTATTTAAGTGTAATTTGAAAGATAGATGTAAAGTAGACATCTAAAGTAGTCTGAGCCAAATAGGAAAAAAAGAAACCTGACCAACAAAAGCTTCTCTTGGTAGAAATATCTTCCTAATTGAGCAAGGCTATTTGATCCTAGCAGATGGGTCAAGATTCATGTATTCCAAGAAAACTTACCTGACTAATCCCCCCATCCAATGATCTTTCATTCCCTTTGTTTTCCCTGAGTGTGTATTCCCCAAGAGTCTATAGCTTATTATCATACACTTCTTTATATGCTGCCTGGTATTTATTCTCTGGTTGTTTCCAATGGCTCCCTATAACTGATAAGATCACATATAAACACCTTTATTTGGCACTTGAAATTCTTTACATTCTGATCCCTCCTGTCTTTCCAGTCTTTATTAACTTTTTAACATATTACTCCTCCTCTACATATTCTATAACCTAGCCATACTGGCTTTCTTGCTATTCTTCACATAGGAAACTCTATGTTTTCCTTCCTTTGTACCAGCTGTCCTGCATGCCTGGAATCCTCTCCCTTCTAACCTCAGCTTTCTTTAGGACTCAGATCAAGTTCCATCACCTTCAAGAGACCTTTTCTTATTCCCACTGCTGTTAATGCTTTCTCCTCTAAGGCCAACTGCCATCTAGTCTGTATTTGTCATGTATGTACTAACATATACAAATATATACATCAATATATTGCACTAAGACTTTTGGAACATCCTGTGTGTATAACACACATGTATGTATCTGTGTATACTCATACATACACTCATATATATATACACACATATATTTGGATATATATGGGTATATTATACATATACATACATATATATGTGGGTGTATGTGTGTGCATGCGCACACACTCTCCCCATTAGAATATAAAGTCCTTGTGGGCATGTGTTCTGGGGCTGTTCTTGATTTTTCCTTGTATATCTAGTGCTAAGCACAGCACCTGATGTATAGTAAGTGATTAAGAAATTCTTGTGACTTGATTGATGTGCATGTATCTCATCTCAATTGGATTATACACTCTCCAAAAAGACTATTTCTTCTACTGTTTTCATAACTCCCACTAAAGACAATTAAGACAATGCTGTACAAACACATGGTACTCAATAAACATCTATGGAGTGTATGAATGAACACATATAAATCCAAAGACTGAAAGTTTACTGTTCCAAAAAATATTTCAGATAAATGTTGTTTTTCATGAAGTTTAAAGAAAAATCAACAACAGGTCATAAGTACAAATTGTAAAGTCAATAAAAATCTATTATGCAATGGTATGTGTTCAAGGAAATAATTGTAACATGAAAGCATGGAACTGTTATAGGCTGACCATAAACAAAAAACTAATACCACTTAACAGAGTATTTCTTCTTTAACCACTCTTTTCATCCTCTTTTAACCCCTTTGAGCCTTTTTTTTAGATTTTTTTTAGTCAAAATAAACAATTCAGTCAGATGGTTGAACAATTATTTTACTACCTAAAATCATTTTTATCAAATACACAGGTGTCATGAAAACAAATCTATTGATTTTAACAGGATGTACTATGAAAAATAAAATAGAATTACCTCTGAGTAATTTGGTGAAAGATATTTCCCATTGTACTTGGCAATGCTCTGCAGAATTTTCAAGGCCTTTTCTCCTTTCTTCCGAGTGATTAGCCATCTGGGAGACTCAGGAACCACCCTGGCAAAGCGAGGAAGTTGATGAAGTATGTCTAGACTTTTCAAAATTTTGATATTTATGCTTTATTTTTTTTCCTCTCTTCAAATGAGGTCTTGCCATTGGCTAAAAAACCAACCAATCAAAAACCCAAAATGCAAACTCTGAAGATTCTGACGGTCAGGTAGCAAGTAGGTTAAGGAAAATTTCATTGGCTGATATTTCCTACCAGCTTATATTTGGAAAATCATACTTTTTTGATGACTTTCTGATGACACACTAAATGATAAAGCATTTGATAAATTCTATAAATTGAAGAAACTCAAGGAAATGAAGCAGTCTTATCTCCCTATCCTTGTCTCTCCAAGAAGGAAAGCTTGAAGAAGTGGATCAGAGTGAATCTTTAATAATTAATAATTAGATAAACTATTAATAATTTATTTTACTCTATATGAATTTCTAATTGTTAATCTGTTAACTTTTGTTTAATACTATCTTAGATGATAGATTAATTCTGAATGGTCTACAGTTACTGGAGGAAATTTATCCACACCAATAAGATCATAGATTCATCAAATTACGAAGAGAATCATCTACTTGCTTGATTTGAATGTTCTTTTTTAATGATAAATACTGTCATTTTGTAAGATTTTATGAAACAACTAAATGTCACATATGCCTTCATTTATCATTTAATGCTTTTTGAAGAGCCAAAATATAACAAAATGATCTTGGCTAATTTTCAAAATTTCAAACCTAGGGCACATTTTTGAAGAATTTGGAAAATCTCCATTACTTTTGGTTACTTTATGATTCTGACTCCAAAGTGTTTTACCACCATAAAGAACATGTGACTATAACAATGACCATGACCATATTACCAGTAATAGAGAAGGAACAGAAAGTTGGGTAGTGTGATGGCTAGCTGGATCCCTTGCCATTTGGGGATAAGGTAGGCGATCCCAGGGATAATTATAATTCCAAAGGTGAAGAATATTTGAATCACGATTCCCACAATTCTTCTCTGTTTTGAACCAACCATTTCTGTCACTGAAGAGAGAAAAACAAAAGAGGTTAAGAATGAAAAGGGACTATTCTACAGAAATATATTAGACCAATAACATCCATTAAGTGCTAGATGTATATTAGTTTGTTGGGGTTTTTTTTTGTGGCATTAGAACCACCACAACCAATGAAATCATGAACAAAATGATTTGCAGGTTAATAACAATCCATGTCTATGTACTACTTTGCAATTTACAATCCTATAAGGTAGATAGTCAAAATAGTATTACCTCAATTTTTTTTTGGAAGCAATTGAGGTTGTCACTTGCCCTGGGTCACACAACTTTTAAATGTCTGGGGCCAGATTTGAACTCATGAAGATGAGTCTTTATGATTCCAAGCCCCATACTCTATCCACTGTGCCACCTACCTGCCCTAACATGAGAGCATACTTCTTACTTTCTCACGTTTTCACAGAGATGCCCTTGACAAATGAACTATTTTATAAAGATGAGAAAATAGGCAAATGCATTGCTAGTTGCTACCATCTTCCCAGTCACTCTCTTGGGTAATAATGTCATAAATTATCTTTTTATTTTCTTGGAATCTTTCTGTCATTGAGATAATCTTGGAAAGTGGATGCCTTTAAAGTAGCTTTCCATGTTAAGTTCCAGCTCAGGTTCAGTTATTCTTCTGAATTTAATCTTCATAAATGCCATTCTATGTCCTCATGTAGGTGCCACTGGTTACTGAGGGTAGGAGCCAAATGTAAAAATTTCACTGTCACTAAAGATAAAGAATTGATTGTAACAACACCGAAACTATTCCATTTCACTTTTATTTTTGTTCTCCTTCCAGTTTCATTTATAAATGCTTTGGGGATGATCTGCCTTAGCTGGGACTCATGCTGTACAGAATCATTTTTTTCTCAACTGCTTTTTGCTTGCAATGTCTAAACATCCTTCTCTCTCATATTCTTCATATTAGCCTGGGTGTTAATTCACAGTGTCTTTGGGAGTCATCTCCCTTACCACATGAAGGAATCACAGGGTCTCAGAAATGCAAAGGACTTCAAAGGCCAACTAGTCCAGTTCATACGTGAGCAAGACTCCCCTCTTTCAATCAGTTCCCAATGTAGCAAACTCCTATTTTCTAGCCCATATATCCTTAGGATCTTTTCTAAGATAAGAGTAGAAGAGACTAAAAATCTAAGTAAATTACATTTGCAACATTTCTGTGATCTACTAGTCTATCAAAAAAGTGAGGTTTGTCCAACATGACTTGTTCTTTCCATCCTGGTGATCTATGGTATAATGTGATGACAATATTACTTCTGCTTCTGCCTCCACTCCACCCAAATGCTCTCTATCATTCTTTACCCATACCCCTAATTCCTAGAATTCCTTATATAACAAGGGATTTGGCCAACAAGGGCCTCATTCTTAGAACGTCCAGAGGGAGCCTTGCCTTCTACAAGCCCCCATGGAGTATTGAGGAACCATGATGACATATCATGGATCTGACTTTCTACTTCAGAGTATGTGCAGATATTCTATGACTATTTCTGTTCATTTACTGAATGGTGAAGAAAAACCTTTTAATTGGCTTCTGAGCAGGAAATGAATGTGCTTACAAGAGGCACTAACTAGCACCTCTCCAGACAGCGAGAGGGAGGTAGTACCAAGTGGCTTACTCTCCCTACTGGGGCTGATGTGTGGTTGTTAATACACTGCCTTGTTATTGCTTCTGTCCTTATTGTATCTATTCTTTTTTTAATTTAATTTTTATCCATTTTGAACTTAAATACAAGAAGACAAAAAAAAAACATTTCCACATACACAACTTAAAAAGGGGATTCAATATCATAGTCATGATTACTGTGTATTTCCTTCCATATTATTATTCCTCCTGTTTGTACTCTCACCTTTCACCCTTTTCCTTCTCACCAGTGTTTTGCTTCTGTCTACCACTTCCCCCATCTCCTCTCCCTTCTTTCAGTCCCCACCCTTTACTTAATCTCCTCCCCTCCTACTTCCCTATTGAGTAAGATCAATTTCTATATTCAACTGATTGTATACTCTCTTTGAGCCAATACTGATGAGAATAAGGTTCAAGTAATGCTCATCACCCACCCTCCCATCTTTCCTTCCACTGTAATTAGGCCTTTCATGCTTCTTCATGTGAAATAATTTACACTGTTCTATCTCTCCCTTCCTACTTCACCCAGTGTACTCCTCTTTTTCATCCCTTCTTTTTTATGTCATTCCCTCAAATTCACCTCATACCCATACCCTGTCTTTGTATATATGCCTTCCAGCTGTACTATTAGTGATATAATTTTTAAGAATTACAAGTATCATCTTCCTATGTAGGGAGGTAAACAGTTTAGCTCTATTGAATCCCTCATGTTTTCTTTTCCCATTTAATCTGTTTAGGCTTCTCTTGGGTCTTGATATTGGAGATCAAATTTTTGATTTAATTCTGGTCTTTTTCTTATGAAATCTTGAAATCCTGCTATTTCATTGAATGACCATATTTTTCCCTTGAAGAATTATACTTAATTTCACTGGGTAGGTGATTCTTGGTTGTAATCCTAGCTCCTCTGTCTTCCGGAATATCATGTTCCATGACCTCCAATCCTTAAATGTTGCAGCTGCTAAGTCCTGTGTAATCCTGATTGTGGCTCCCTGATATCTGAATTGTTTCTTTCTGCCCTCTTGAGTATTTTTCCCTTGACTTGATAATTCTGAAATTTGGCTATAATGTTCCTTGGAGATTTTATTTTGGGTTCTTTTTCTTGAGGTGATAGGTGGATTCTTTCAATGCCTATTTTGCCCTCTGGTTTCAGGATATCAGGGCAGTTTTCCTTCATAATTTCTTGAAAGATGCTGTCCAGGTCCTCCTTTTGATTACAGCTTTCAGGTACCCAATGATTCTAACATTGTCTCTTCTGGATCTATTTTTCAGGTCAGTTTTTTTTTTTGCAGTGAGGTATTTTACATCTTCTATTTTTTTATTCTTTTGATTTTGTTTGATACTTTATGTTTCATAAGGTCGTTAGCTTCCACTTGTCCCATTCTAACTTTCATAAGTTTCATTTTGACCTTTTAGTTTATAAAATTCCATATAAAAAGAAAATCCATTTAATTTTTAGTTGAGTTCATAACATTTGTCTTCTTTTAGACATTTTTATGGGAGTAGAGATCTTTTAAAGTTTTTAATTCATCTATTAAAGTTTTATTTTGACTTTCCAAGACTGCAACTCAATTTTCCAGACACTTAACATATTCTTTTTTCTTTCTACGGCATTCTGGAGTAGCTTCTCTATTTTTCATCAAATTTATTTCTCTTTTCAACTGTGGATCATCTGATTTGGTTGTCTGAAATATTATAGTGACTGGAGATGTCATCACTACTGTATGTGGAAGGTTAGTATTTGCTAGTGTGGCATGAATCTGATAAGTCTGCCTATTTCCTGATGCAGTCTATACAACTACTTGGTTGCTAGGGACAAGTATCTGCTGTCCATCAGATGTCTGTGCATACTGAAGAATTGTTTTTCCTTGTTGAGTATTGCCTGCATTCATCATTGTTAATGCCTGCAGCCCCTGTACTTCATCTGTTCTTGGACTGGTCAGTTGTAATGTTCCATTTAGGGCATTGGCAATGTATGGTCCAGTGCTAGTCTGATAGAAAAGAATTGGGACAGACATAGATGTGACTGTTGAAACTCCAGGGTTTTCTCCATCTCTCTTCCTGTCTCTGGCATCTTCTGAAGAAAAATTATTAAGGTTTGTTTTTTTTTTTGTAAGATGGGTGCCATGCTAAAATCCTCTGAGCTTTCTGTGAAGAGCCTATGCTATCAGATGAATCCTGAGAATCTTCACTGTCTGACCAGAATGATATCTGCACTGTCTCTACTTGCAAGGGGTGGATTACTAAAGATGACTGAGCAGTGTGGATGACCCCCTGACTCTGTACTTGCTCTCCAGAAAGATATACAACTGTCATTGGTGCAGCTCCTCTTAGTGACATGTGGTTGTGTTGCTATCTCTGAACTGTTACTTTTGTGGAAATCTTCCATAATCAACTGAGGCCACTCCTGACATTGTTGCTCGGGTTCTCTGGATGGGAACTTCTTCTCCTTGGAGAATTAAGTTCTGAGCCCAGGTCTCTCTAGCACCCACCTTCCATCCTTCCCTCCCCTGGAAGCCTGGGCCAGTCCACTCAACCCTGCCCCCAACTTTAATTGTATATCCCTTTCCACTTGGCCAATTCTACTTTTTAAGCAGTTGTTTTCTTTTTCTAAGCTGTTGACTCTTTTTTTTTATAATCCTCTTGCATCACTCTCATTTCTTTTTCCAATTTTTCTTCTACCTCCCTTATATGATTTTAAAGTGCCTTTTTGAGCTCTTCCATGAGTTCTTTCTGGGCTTGAGACCACTTCCCATTTTTCTTTGGGGTTTTGCTCATAGGTAATTTGACATTACTGTCCTCTTCTGAGTTTGTATCTTGATCTTCCCTCTCACCATAATAACTTTCTATGGTCAAATTCTTTTTGTTGTTGTTGTTGTTGTTTTTGCTCATCTTTTTCAGCCTTTTTCCTTTCTTTTAAATTTGAGCTCTGCTCCTGGGGTGGGAGGGGCAGTGTCTCAGGTTTCTTGTGCTCAGGGCTTCAGGCCCTGGCTGTTTACCTGGTGCTGTGCTGATATTGCCCTGAGGCCCATGGGGACCCTAGTGTCTGGTGCTGGGCTGAGATGGTGGAATGGGACGTGGTAGTGCTTCTGCAGGCTGGAGGGGTCTGGCAGCTTATGTGGTGCTGAGCTGGGGTCTCAGTGCTGGTGTCTGGCATGTGTTGAGGCCGGTGGGGTGTTCCTGTTTTGGCTTCTGCCTGTTTACCCAAGCTACACTGAAGAATGTGGTGGTCCCTGTTTGCTTGGGGCTACGCTGAAGCAAGCAGTGGGGCCTGGCACTGGTGGTTGCCCATTTGCTTAGGCACTTGTAGGGTTGATTCTACTTGCTTGCCCAGAGCTATGCTGAAGCACATGGAGGTTCTCAGAGCTGGCACCTGCCTATTCCCCTGGTTATGCTGAGGCACATGAGGGGGTGCTGGTATTGGTGTTTGCCCGCTCAACCACACTGGGGCTCAACCACACGGGATCTCCCACAGGGACTTGCTAGGATACTTCCTGTCTTGGACTGTATTCCACCTTTACCTAAGTAAGACAGACCTTTCCTGCTGATGTTCCAAAATCTGGGGCTAAAAGATTGTTTCACCTCATCTTTTTGCTGGTTCTCCTGTTCTAGTATTTGTTTAGGGCAGCTACTTTATGGTTGTCTGGAGGTGAATATGGGAGCATTATAGTGATTTCCTGCTTACTCTGCCATCTCGGCTCCTGGAAGTCTTGTTTTATCTATTCTTTCTTGTTATTCAGCAAAGGAAGATTGAAAGCAAAATGACCTTGTAAGCTTCAGAAGTTTGGAAGAGCTAGCAGTTTGCCAGTCAGCAGATGGCACCACAGCCCTGAGATGCAACTTGCTTAACCTGGCCCAGTAGTAGATTGCCTAGCATTGGGGAAACTCCAGTCCTTAAAGCAAGTTTGCTACTCTACTATTGGCAATGCTACACCCAGAAATGAACTCAGTGGTGGGAAGAATGTTTTTTTTTTCACTGTAAGTTTGAGCCCACTCTCCCCAGTGACTGGAATATAAAGAGAAGAGTATACTCTGGTTTGGAAATGTTTCCATACTTTTGTTCTTGCTATATCTTATCAATAAATATCCCTGTATACAAGTTAATTGATATTAAGGAGAAAACTGATGGTCAAACTGATATTAGGGAGACAATAACTGGCACTACAAATATTATTGGAGCAGTAATCACTGTAAACTGATATTAGAGGGAACACATCAGAATGGGATTTCAAGTTAACAGCATTAGAATGACTCCCTAATCCTCAGAGGTGTGAGTGGAACTCTGAGGGAGAAATTTAGCCTTGTTACAGAGCTCCTACCTGCCAATGGAAACCTCAGAGCTTATATCCTTATTATATTCATGTAAGTTTATTTTTTAAATATACAATGCAATTATCACTCTTCGCCACTACCAATTTTTACCTATACTATTTCTTTTGAATAAGGTATATCTTTTTTACTTTTGTGTATGAATTGGAATGACTGGTCACTGAGATCCCTTTCAACTATCAAATTCTGTGAGTCTGAATTACTTGTCTTATTATATTCTTTGGTTTTCAAGGAAAAGGGACATTTTGGCCCCGTTGTATGAGATGACAGCTTTTATAGAATTCTTTGTTGCAGAAATAAATCAAGATGAAATTTCTCAGATTTATTGTTAAAGATTCTGAGATTGATGTTAAGAACATATCTAACATTCACTTAGAATCCACCATTTAAACTGGAAACAGAGGATAAGTGAACTGAAATGAGTTAGAATTACAGTAGAATGTAAGCTCACTGAGGATAGACTATTTCACTTTTATTTCTGTATCTCCAGTGCCTTCCCATTGCAGATGCTCAATTAATGTTTATTGAGCTAAATTGAACTTACCAATAACATAAGATGTCATCCATGTTCCCTTTCCAAAAACACCTTGCAGGAAGCGAAAGATCACAAACACAGTAAAGTTTGGAGCAAATGCCACAATGATTCCACTTATTCCCACACCAAAGCAGGAGATTAAATATATAATTATTCTTCCATACCTTTTTGAGAAAGAGAGAAAAATCACTTCAAATCATTCTTCAACACAATACAAATAACAAATACCATAAACATATACTAAAATGATGTCATTTGCAGAACCAGTATCCTTTATATTTTCAAAATTAATTATGATGTTAAATGACTATAATGTACTCTAGCTATGATTTAAGGGCAAACTGGGGGGAAACATTTGCCTAAGCAGAAGTAATCTTAACATTAAAAAAAATCAAATGAGGTCTTTTCTATTACAGTTTTTCATAATTTTCCTATAAAATCATTTAGATTCTACAATAAAGTCCTCTTCTAAAGGCTGACAGTGGTCCCAAGGCAGCCCTTGGATCACAAAGGTCATACTACCAGATTACATGCTTTGATAGCTCTTATCACACTGTAAATATTGTCAGAAGAACCATCTAATTGTATGTGAAGAGGTTCATCATTAGAAAGGTGGACTACTAAGCAATGATTTTTTCCAATAATAAATTAATACAACTTCAAGGGACTATGATGATTGTCTGAAGAAGTGCCCATACCAACAAAATCATGGATCTTTCCCCAAAAGTAATAAAATAATTCACTAATGCAATTCATAAAAATAGCATTGAAAAACATGCAGGCTTTTGGACATGCTGAGTTTAAGATTTCTATGGGACATCCAATTTGAAATGTCCGATAGACCATTAGAGATGCAAGATGAGATCAAGAGGAGCTGGAAAAACTTATCTGAGTCATCTGAACAGAGATGATAAGCTATGACAGCTGATGAGATCATCAAGTGGAAAAACTTAGCTGAGTCATCTGAACAGAGATGATAACAAGCTATGACAGCTGATGAGATCATCAAGTATATCAGAGGAAGAGAAGAAGGCACAGGACAGAGCCCTGGGGGATATCTACTGTTAGTGGGCATGACCTGGATGAGAATCTAGCAAAGGAGGCTGAGGTGATCAGAGAGGTAGCAGAAGAACCAGGAGAGAGCAATACAACAGAAATCTAGAAAAAAAGAGAGTTATCAAGGAGAAGAGGGGGTCAACAGCAATGAGGATTGAGAAAAGGTTTGTCAATTAAGAGATCACCGGTAACTTTGGAGAGAGCATAATGAGATCACAAGTCAGACATGTGGAGTTAAGAAGACAGGAGGAAAGGAAGTAGAGGCACTTATTATAGATGGTCTTCTCGAGGAATTTAGCCACAAAGGGGAAAAGAGATATGGGATGATGGCTATTGGGGATGAGAATGTTTTTGAGGATGGGAAAGACATGGGCATATTTGTTGGCAGTAGGGAAGCAACCAGTTAACAGGGAGAGAGATGGGCTGGAAAGGAATCACTTGTGCATGCTGGGGGTTAGTTTTGGCAAGAAGGGCCACCTTTCATCAGAGTAATCCTTATAAACTTCCACACATTAATGCTAAGTTGCTGAAGTAGAGAAGAGGAGGAGAAGAGAAAGTAGAGCAGAGGAATTTTCTCATTGTTCAGTCACGTCTGACTCTTCATGACACCATCTGGGGTTTTCTTGGCAGAGATATCGGAGTGATTTGTCATTTCCTTCTCCAACTCATTTGACAGATGAGGAACAGAGGCAAACAAGGTTAAGTGACTTGCCCAGGGTTACACAGCTAGTAAGTGGCTAAGGCTGGATTTGAGCTCATGAAGATGAGTCTTCCTGACTTCGGGCCTGGTGCTTTATCCACAGCACTGCCTAGCTGCCCAGCTTGAAGGAAAGAGGTCGGGAAAAGTGAAGGGAAAGAAGAGAAAAGGGACAAGGTCCTTTGTAGTTGATTTGAGTATTTATAATACTCAGAATAACTTGATTGTTCACAATTGTTCTTTGAACTATATTGCTGTCATGGCATACAATGTTTGCTGGGTTCTGCTCATTTCATTTTTCAATATTTCAAGCAAGCCTTCACACATACACACATATTATACATATAATACATAGGCATATAAAATTGTTCTAAATCATTGTTGATTAGAGAAATGCAAATTAAAATAACTTTGAGATACAATCTCACACCTATCAGACTGGCTGATAGAAGGGGAAAATGACAAACATTGGAGGGGATGTGGAAAAATTGGGACACTGATACATTGTTGGTGGAACTGTGAACTGATCCAACCATTTCTGGAGAGCAATCTGGAATTGTGCCCAAAGAGTTATAAAACTGTGTATACTCTGTGACCCAGAAATACCACTATTATGTCTGTTTCCCAAGGTGATCGGAGAAAAAGGAAAAGAATGTATTTTTTCTAAAACATTTATAGCAGCTCTCTTTGTGGTGGCAAATTGAAGGGATGTCCATCAACTGGGGAATGGCTGATAAGTTATGGTATATTATTGTGATGGAAGACTACTGTGCTGTAAGAAACAATGAGCTGGATGATTTTAGAAAAACATGGAAAGAGTTGAATGAAATGATGAAAGTGAAATATGTCTAGTTTTTACCAAACTACTTTCCAGTTTCCGCAACAATTTTTGTCAAATAGTGAATTCTTGCCCTGGTAACTTTTTCTGCATCTATTGAAATCATCATATGATTTTTGTTATTAACACAGTCAATTATGCTTATCGTTTTCCTAATATTGAACCAGCCTCAATATTTCCTAGTACTGAACCAGCCTGGTATAAGCCCAGCCTCATCCTAGTGTATGATGTCTGTGATAAAATTGCTGTAGTCTGCTTGCCAATATTTTATTTATAATTTTTGCATCAATATTCATTTAGGAAACTGGTGGACAGATTTCTTTATCTCATTTGATTCTCCTTGGTTTAGGTATCAAGACCATATTTATTTCATAGAAGAAATTTGCTAAGACACCCTTCAAATAGTTTATGTGGCATTGGAATTAATTGTTCTTTGAATTTTTGGTAAAAACCCACCTGATCCTGGGGTTGAGAGGGGCAGTTTCATGAGCATGCTTCACAAAATCCATACTTTTCATAATAACTGATGTTACAGAGATATGGTCTTGTTGACCATAAAGTCACTGTTTCACAATATTTCATGATTTGCTACTATAAATGATATGTTTTATGGAGTCATTTCATTTTGGATATTCCAAATTTTAATTTGAGACATATAAATTCTGATAACTCTGCCAAGTATCTAAAATGCCTGTATTTAAAAAAGAGACACTCACTATTTTTTATTTTATTTTTCCCAGTTACATGTAATTTAAAAAAAATTTTAATTTGAGTCCTTTCCCTCTCTCCCTCCTCTCCCCACTTCTTGAGAAGGCAAGCAATTTGATATAGAGTATATATGTGCACTCATGCAAAACATTTCCATATTAGCCATGTTGTAAAAGAAAACACAGACAAAAAAAACAAGAAAAATAAAATAAAAAAGTAAACTTTAATCTGCATTCAGACTCCATCAGGTCTTTCACTGGAAGGGGGTAGCATTTTTCATTATAAGTCCTTCAGAACTGTCTTGGATTCTCACTATTTTTTTCCAAATATAACTATGATTATCAAAACATAACCAATTCATTTGTTACATATACTATTTTCATGTTATTTGTGGATTAACTGCTTGCAAATCCTTGGGAGAAAGCACACTCTTATCTTATGCTGAGAAATGCAATCTAAATCTGTAGAATTGAAACATATGGATTGTTTAGTAAGAAACCAAGAACCCAGTAAAAACTAAGGCTAGGTCCATATGATTGAACTAATCAAACCACAGCCTGTAATTTACCCTGCCCTGACCATTCAATCAATTTAGATTAGGATTTCACAGTGATTCAGATAGAATGAAATCAGTTCCTATGGATCAGCCACCAAGCAGACAAGAATGGTTTAATGTGCCACACTGCTTGGCTCTTTGGCTGAGATGAAAGCACCTTTATTCAGATTTACTAATGAAAAACAGTAAAGACACAGTGGCCACAAGTTTTCCATCAGGAAATGGAAGTCACAATTTGAAAAGATGAAATCCTATTAAATAAACAAAAAGTGCGAATTAATCACAAGCTTAGAACTTTAGAATTTGGGGGAATTCTAAATTTGGAAAATCATTTTTTCTTTTAAACTCTTAACAGGTTTATCTTTGTAGTTACATGTATTAACTTAAAATAGACTCTCACCTTCATACTTACCTGTCTGCTGCATAGCACAGAGTAAAAGCCCCAGCCAGAAACCCCAGATTCAGAACAGCCTGGGTAAAGTCCAGCATCCAAGAATTTAAACACACCAGGTTAAACTGATAAAAAAAACCAAAAATCAAAATGAGACATGATGAAGTAGTTAGCCCTCAAAAAGCTGATTATAAGCAGGTTGTTAAATCACTCTGTGGCTCAGTTTCCTCATCTGTAAAGTGAGACTAATACCTACCTTACCTAACTTAAAGGGTTATTCTGAGTGTATCAGGTAAAACAAGAGAAAAGAAAGCACTCTGAATGGGTAAAAGCCCTACAAAAATAAATGTACAGTAGTAATAACGTTAATCATTTTAAAGTGTTTTATCATAAAACTGGATACTATGATGGGGTAGGGAGAAAGGAGAGGGAAAGAGAGAGAACTGAGTACAGATCAGAGACTAGAGACCTGGGAGAACTGAATAATCATCCCCCAATTTAGCCTAAGAGATGACATCCTGGAATGGCAACCACATCACTACATGGTAAAACAATCAGATGAAGTGCCTTCCACAGCTCTGGGTAAAGGAAGAATGCTTAACCAAAAAACAGGTGAAGGTAATTACAGAAAACAAAGCAGATCATTTCAATTACATGAAATTAAGAAGCTTTTGTAACAACATAAGCAATGCAAGTAGGATAAGAAGGGAAATGGTCAATTGGGAAGAAATCTTTATATCAAACATCCCTCATAAGGATCTGATATCTAAGATATATTGGCAATTAATACAATGTATAACACTAAAAGTCATTTTCCAATGGGTAAATGGTCAACAGATATGAACAATTAGTTTTTGAAAGAATTGCAGTTGTTAACAACCATTTGAATGATTGCTGCAAATCACTAAGAAAAATGCAAATCAAAATTATCTTGACATTTCACCTCATATCAAACAAATTGGTGAAGATAACAAAATACGGGAATAATTGATGCTTATAGAAGGATGGGCTCACTAATGAATTTTTGGAGATGTGAATTGTTCTACACATCCTTGAAAGAAATTTGGAATTATACTAAGGAAAAATTAAACCATTTTCCCCAAAGACCTCACTGTTAGGTATATATCCAAGGGGTGCCAAAGATGGAAAGAAAGAAGGGAAGGAAACAATGTGCTAAGTACTGTGCTAAGCATTTTACAAATATTATCTCATTTGATTTTCAAAATAACCCTGGGAGGTAGGTGCTATTTTATAGCTGAGGAAAACTGAGGCAGTCAGAGGTTAAGTGACTTGCCCAGGGTTATACAGCTAGTAAGTATCTGAGGTTGGATTTGAACTCTGGTCTTCCTGACTCTACCTATAAGAAGGATACAGTACACACCAAAACATTAATAGCAGCAAAGAACTGGAAACAAAGTAGCTGACAATCACTTGGGAATATCTCATTCTCAATGGGAATGGTCAATGGGAACTACTCATGAATCACAATAGGAATTACACTGTTGTTTATGAATGTGGTGGAATACTGTTGCCCAATAAGAAAAGTGATTATGAAGAATACAGTAAGGCATAGGAAGACAATATGAACTGAGGCAGTATGAAGTAAGTATAAGTAGGACCAAGAAAACAATAGATACAAAGACTCTAACAATTTAAATGGCAAAACCAAAACCAAAAATGAAAATGAACTATATTTAATAACAATGACCAACCTTGGAACTGAAGAACTTATATGAGAATGCATTTCCCTACCTTTTTTGTAGAGATAGGGGACTATGGCTATGAAATGTTGTGTATACTGCTGCGCATAATGGGCACCACTGCTCAGTGGTTAGTTTTGCTGAACTGTTTTTTTTTTTTACTTTTTTTTATTCTTCATTACAAAAATTGAAGAGAAGGAAGGGATATATTGTTAAAGCTGACTTTTTAAAAAATATCAATAAAAATATTTCTTAAAGACTTATCTTGTATTACCAACCTTTTTCCTCAATTCATTAAAAAATGAGGTGTGGAAGTGGAAAAAGTTCTGGCTTTAGAATCAAAGGTCTTAGCTCTGAATACTGGCTTCTCTGGAGGTACTAGTCTGAGAGGTTCCTGGGGCCTGAAAGCTTAAGCTGCTTGCTTGTAATGTCATATAAATCATCTGTCAGAAGCTGACTTGAACCCAGATATTCCTGCCAGCACTCTATCTATTACAGCATGTGGCCTCTTGAGGAATTTTCAATAAAACAAAGATTACTATAAACTTTATGATCTTGATTGTAAAAACAGAAGGCAAATTCTTTTACGCATTTCAAGGCTGAGGATATCTACACAATCATTAAAAGAAGATGGAGGCATTAGTTTATTTCCTTACTCACTCCCTTTCCTAGATGAATTTAAATAAGAAAATACAATATATCAGAAACATAGGCAGAGCTATAACCAGGAATTTTTGCCCAAGGCAAGCAGCATGAAGCACTTCCTCAGCTGACTAGGGAACAGGGTGGGAAGCTGAGAAGAGATCCTGGAACACCCAGGCGCAAGGTCAATTCTAGGGAGGCTACCCTGTGTATGCCAGAGGTAGGGTGGGGAGAAGAGAACCAAGAATATCTTATTTTAACTAATGGCTCTTACTAACTCGGTGATAAGCTTGGTTGTTTGTACTGTTGCTAAAGGACTGCAAGAGCTGTCAGCCCTCTAGATTTGAGGCTTTCAGACAAATACCTAATTACTCTACCAGAGCCGTGGCTCTGATCCTAGAAATAATTTCTTGAACAACTGTCCCTCAATTGTCAAGCAATGAACCCAGTATGACCACTAGAGCAAAGACTTCCACAGAACTCTGCTTTAGCCATATTAAACAAACTTCTGAAGAGACTGGTTGGTTATTTTGGGTTTGAGGGAAGGGGCAATGACTGAATTCTCAATCACTGTCTATGAGCTATAGTTCTAGCATACCATATATATTCTTATATATATATATCTATATCTATATCTATATCTAGTATACTAGTTCTATATTCTAGTATATTTAAGTTACTTTAGGAGTCAAGGAACATTCTGACATAAAAACAGAGAATTTCTATTCCTATTGCCCCTGTATTCATTTTCTAAGAATGACTTTAAAATTGAACCATTTTCAAATGGTTAGTTTCACAGCAAGATATTAGTATTTTGGAAACTATGGAAAGGCTTTAGAAGGCCAATTAGAACTTCTCAAAGCAGCCAAAACAAGTTCCATGCTTTTTTAACGTAGGGATTCTGCTGGTTTGGTAGCAATAAGAAACTACATCAGGATTTGTAAGATATGACAAAAAGCTTTGCAACTAAAAACTACACAATGAACAAACAGAATCTTCTTGGCTAGGTTTTTAGTACTGAAAAATGTATATGTTGCTAGTATATATAATATATAAGCTTTCTCTTTACTTTGCCATGGTGCTTCTTTCATATATATGTATATATAGATATACACACATACTATATATGTAATATATACACATGTAATATACAAATATATAACATAATACTACTATATAATATATATGTATAATATATGTATAATATAAATATAGCCTATGTTACATTTTATATCTGTTGTAACTATATAAAATATCATACATGTATATGTATATATATGTGATATAGCTATATTACATGTGCATTATTTACATTATTACATTATTATTACATTACATTATTATATGTGCAAACCTACATTTACATATGAGAAGCAGCATAGTGAAGAGAGGTCCCCTCTTGGTTTCCTGGATGAGTCTGCCTCAGTTCAAATCTAGACACATCCTAGTTATGTGAGCAGGGGTGAGTCACTCCAGCTTCAATACAATCAACAGTCTAAAACTTTATGTTATACAATTGCTGCTGATTCTCTTTAGTGAAGGTTCCACACTGAGAGTTTCCCTACAACAATGAAATCACAAGTCTGTTCTCAAAACAGATCACCTCTAAGCTATATATGTATTACCACACAGAGATACTAAATTAAAGTTTAATCAACTAGTTAATTTTAAGAAGCTAGTGTGGGTCCAGCTCTGTGCCAGGTATATGGGGAATCAAAGGAAAGACAGGAGCTTTCCTTTTGGTTTAGCTCAGGACAGAAAACTAACAAAAAAAATTTAAGTACTGAGTTATTGTAGTTTAAACTATATTTAAATATTTGATTAACTACTAATTACATGTTGTTTGTCCTTCATTTTCAAAGAGGCCCAATGACATCACAGGCAATGTCTTGACTGGAGGGTGAATTGGATTTAAGTGAGGCAGAGTTGTACAGTTATCAGCCTCACTCTCTCTTCCAGAGTCACTGAAGTACAGTGGCAAGACAGAAGTCAGGGCAGCTGGTGATGGCTCATGATGCAGTGGATGACCTTTGCACCTCTGATGTCTGACCAAGTTGTAAGCACTCCACAGCACCTGCTTCAGCTGCCTTCATGGCCATTGGAACAAATTATTCTCATCCACATTGTGCAGGGGAAGCCTTCACATGCTTGGAGTAGACATCCCCCTAACTCAGTGACAGGTTTAAGGCCCATCAGTTACCCTCAACCTGGCTTAGCCTGTCTGCCAAGAAGGTTTACCAGGGTGTGGCCACTGCACATGCTACAGCTTTTTGGAGCCACAGGTGAGAATGGAATGACAAGTAGAGAGCAGAGTAGCCCTGAAAAGGGCTCAACAAGCCCTCACACCAGGGGTGCTAGTCCTCAATGATCACTTCACACACCCCATTTATATACTCTAATTATAACTGGCATAGGGTATAGAGAGGTGCCCTTGGAGTCTGGAAGCTGTGAGTTGAGAGTCCTGCCTCTGACCAGTCCCGGCAGAGTGAGCTGGGCAAGTCACTCAATCCTCAGAGCCTCAGGTAACTAATATGTTGCAAAGTAGGTGGTCAATCTACACTAGTAAAGAGAATTTCCTCTCTGTGCCAGTGAAATCAAAGGTCTGATCCCCCCTTAATTAAGCAGAGTTATTGTCAAATGTTAATTTTAACTACCCTAGGAGTTTAGAGAAGAAATTAATGTGGCCTGGAAGAATCAAAGAAATCATTCACTGTATCAGCTGGTAAAACTTAAGCTGGGTCTTAACATATATGTAAGATTTAGGGAAGCAGGAAAAAGGGACA